CATACCGACCCGTCGATCTGCGATTGCAGGCTACTGGAACGGACGCTCGAGATGCTCCCAGGCTCGATGCAAATGATTATGGGCCACACGATTCAGCAGCCGGGGGGGATCAACACTACTTGTAAAGGGAAGGCTATCAGAGTGGATGTGGGAATGTCGGAGGGGTGCGGAGGGGCAGAAGCGGAGATTCTAGAGATAAGGAAGGATAGAGAGGTATGGGTGGTGCGAGCAGCAGAGGAGTCGGCTGGGAAGCCTGCTAAAGCGCATTTGCTGGCTGGGACAGAAGTGCCTGCGGATAAGCACGGGTTTTGGGGGAAGCTGAGGGAGGCAATGGGAACAAGAGTGGCGTAATGGACGAAAGTGGTCAATCTGCAGTTTATTCGTGTGGTTGGAGCAGCAACGGAAGCAGCAAGCAAGCCTGCTTGACTGATGCATGTGGTGGCTGGCTGGAACTAATTGATAAGCATGAGTTGTGTTGTGTGGGGCAGGCTGAAGGATGCAATTGGATATTCAGTTTCTGCTGTTGAAGGAGTGCAGAACAGATAAAGAGAGGTGTTGTAGTTTCTGCTCTGGTGGAAAAAAGGATTGTTAGAAACATTACACACCATTACACACTTACATGAAGTTTCCCATTTTCAGAAAATACCGCTGCTGGAATCACATGTGCCGAAGCATTGCGAGCTAATCTTTCCAGCCAGGATGAGTCTGCTATAACAATCACTGCACTGAATTGGTTAGATTAGACTCCATTCCCACTAAAACCACTTGCCCGCTGCCTCCGGTTGCTGCTAGACTGGCTGCTCTGGCTAGCTTGACTGGCTTGATTTGCTTGACTGGTTCCATTTGTTCCACTCGCACTCCTCGTGCTCCCACTTGCGGTCCCACTTGCTCCTCCTGTCCCACTCCCTGTAGTAGCCGCTGTATCCCCTCCGCCGTTTCCTCTCAGCAGATTCAGCAGCTGCGTCATTGTTGCAAAAAACAGGTCAGATTGAAAATCCGGGTTGAAAAAGGAGCCCAAGGACAAACCTCCCCCAGAAGAGCCTCCTCCGGTGCTGCTTGGAGTGCCGCTGCCTAGCTGGATTGGCATGGGGACCGCTGGATCTGATGCTGACGTGGCAGCTTGGACAAGCGTGTTCACAATTTGGTTTTGGATATAGGCGGCAGGAGGTGGGGGGGCGGGTGGAGGAAGGGAAGGAGAGCGTGGGAAAACAGTGGGGGAGGGTGGGGTTGCGAGAGTGAGGGAGCTGTTAGATTGGAGGGAAGCAGTTTCTGCAGGAGAGAAATTGCGAGGTGGCGTTTGTGTTGTATTTGAAGCATTGCAAGAATCTGCAAAGAAGCAAAACGGGCAGAACGGATTAGATAAATGAGAGATGAGGAAGCAGGCAACTGGAAGCAAAGAGAAGGGAAGGCAACTGGAAACATGGAGCTATGAATGAGATACGTACTGGCCAGTGTTATAAGCAGAGCGCAGAGGAGAAGTGCTCGTCGGAAAGCAAACGTGCTAGAATTTCCTTCTCCAGCCATAGTCGATGCAGCGCTTGCTCAGGGGCCTCAGAGGGGTTCTCAGGAGCACAGAGGGGTGCTGAGGGCCTCAGAGGGGTCCCTAGGGTCGCTGGCGATTGGAGTGGGTAGTCACGAAGCCCTTTCGTCTGTAGTGTATTGTGAACTGAGCTCAGCAAGCCGAAATTGCGGAGTAGCTAACTTCCGAAGCCCTCTGAGGCCGACTGAACCTGCACAGCCAGAACGGCAAAAATAAATAGGTTTTGCTGACGGATAGAAGGCCATGAAAGCGGATGCTGAGCTCCAGGACTCCTGCTTCGGAAGCAGGTCGCTGTCATTGTCACTGCCTGTCACGAAACGTCAGAAAATTCGATTCTAGGGCTGGCCTGGCAGCTACGGCTCCTCGCTTCCTGGGTCTTGTGCGCGCACGACGGATTGCGAAACCGCGAGCCATGAATCCACGTTTTTTATTGGCAGAGCACGAGTCGTTTGTTGTCGCTCGCTGGAAGACGACGGAAATTCCTGCCAGGAAACATTTGACGGGAATAGTCGCATGACTGTGACAGCGAGCCGTCCCAAACTGAGCAGCTGAAACATGAACCGTCACCATCCGAGCCACCGAAAAAAAACGACATTTCAGGTCTCCTCCCTGGTGGTGCCTTGGAATAGCCGGAGAGGACGTTCCAGCCTAGCTCAGCCGCGGAGATTCAGATCAGACTGCTTGTCACGTCTCGAACTTGTCGCGACTCGCGACAATGACTGTCGTGAAGGGACGAAACAGACAGCCAGCATGCAGCTGCTTACAGGATTATCCAGCACGGCGATAGCGGCAAGCACTCATCAACAGATAAGTCTTCGAACTTCAAGGATGTGACAGGATTCAGAACCAGGAATGGAGGCAGAAAACCATCAATGCAGGAATGTGTGACACACCTTCTACATACAGGTCGGTTGTGTGATACTTTCACTATTACAGACTGGTACGGTAATAGAAATGCAGATCATTCCCGTTCATAAGGTGTAATTTTCAGTGTTGAATGACACTACCGTATTTGTCCTCACGTCCATGCAAGCAAACACAAATGGCGCGATGGCAGTTTCCCATGTTGCTTACCACACTCTGATGTGGCATTACAATGTTGCAAGAAGGAAGACAACTGCAGTGCACAGAATGAGGTACAGCACACATTATCTTGCAACCTTATGATGCATTCTCTTTCTGAGCACGGCTCCTCCTGCTGGCTAGGCTACTCAAACTCGCCCTGCTAGCTCTACTCTGCCTGCTATTCTCACTAGCTCTTGCACCCGTACTTTCTCCATCAGAGCCCAAACCACTCCCCACAACTACAACACCTCCACCAGCACTACCACCACCATTTGCCAAGGTGTTCCCAATTTGAGGCAAATTCACATTGCCAAAGCGAACACCAGGCATGCTAACCAGCCTGCTCAATGTTGGATCGTTCAGCAAGACCGCAATCAGCTCTAGGGCAAGCTGATAAACAGCTTCTGCGGAGGTGGGGGTGGTGGAGGTGGAAGAGGTGGGGGTGGTGGCAGGAATGCTGGATGAAGGAGTGTTCGGAGGAGTGGACGTTGTAGCAATTCCGTTGTTCAAGACGCGGCGATGCTGTTGTTGGTAACCCTGTTGTGCAGTTTCAGTGACAGAATCAAATGAACCGCTGCTTTTCCAACCTGAAACGTTTGACACTGCACAGCAAACATGAAAAAAAAAGGGTTGGGGAGAAGTGAGACAGGTTAACGCTGGTGCAACAGCCAAGAAGGGGGAAATATTACAAGCGGATGGGAGATGAGTGAATCGGAAGGAGAAAAATGAGTCGGAGAGATGAAGGACCAAGAGACAATTGAGGAGAGTCCCATACCTGAAAGCAGGATCAGAAGGAAGCAGGCGAATAGGCGAATCAGCAACGCCATGGCCACGTGAGCACTTCAGGGACTTATGTCAGTTTCGTCAATCGCTCTCTGAATCGCAAGAGCTGCCCAATGCGGTAGCAAACACGGAGAATATACGGTAGCAAATGTGAAAGACGCATGTGTATCTCGTTCACCGAGCACATTTATAAGGAAGACCCAGGAATATGCGAATCTGGGAATATGTTTGTCTTTTCCAAAACCCACCTGCACTGGTTCCCACGAACTGTGACAGACGCTGACAGGTGGGTGAAGGTCCAACCCTTTCCACATCCTCATCCGCTTTCACGTCTGCATCCCCATCCACATCTACATCGGAAGTGTGCACAAGATTCAAAATCACATTGCTCATCTGTCCCGTCAACAGTCGCATATAAGGCGGCGGCGCTCCATGGGTAAAAACAATCCGCAGGCGCAGGATAGCTTCCATGGTGGGAGGGTCGTGATCTGACTGGCAGACTCGGATTCATCGTCGTGCTTTGCACGCGTTATAAGCAGACGATGATCCATGGACAAGAGGAACTAGTTTCGAACTGGAAAGTGACATCCCGACAGTGACCCAGATTTGCTCGGTCGCTACGAGGCGTGGCATCATCCGCCTACCAGAGGGTCCTTCAAATCAGCCACATGGCAGACGTCGCGTCGACGAAAACTCTTCTAATCGTACGCTCCGCATGTCCCTAGTCCCAACAACGATGCCACGAGAATCCGTCAGCACTCAACTCTCACCGTGCTTTCTGGCTAGTACCTGGCACTTGAGAGTGATGTGACCAGCCTGGTTATGGCTGCTGGAGGTTTGAGCATAACCAGTCTGTATCGCGGAAAACCACTCGATATCCACACTTCCTTATTAAGGCAGTCAGACTTTGAAGCAAATTATACCTGACCATGAATGCAGGACTTGGTATATCCAACTAAAATTAGCCCAAGAGAAAGTCAAGCATATAATAAAATTTAATGCTACAGGGCAGAAGCTAATACATCAACATTGTTATTTCCGATCTGACAAAAATCCCTTCTAAAACTTCTAACTATGCCACCCTTGCTGTAATCATATCGTTAGCCGAATGTCCTTGTCCTCGCTCTTCTCCTACTCTGCTACATCACAACCCAGCTCGTTGCTCTATGCAGTAAAACCGAATAGCAGCAGATCAAGCAGTGCAGCACCAATGAATGGGATTTCTGTCGATCTGTCCAGAGCACCACACTGAGTTCCTGCCTCGATATCTGCTTCTACTCGCTCCTCTTCAACATAGTGCATGTGGATGGTCATGAGCTGCTCCTCACAGCAACAATCAAGGGGCAGCTGCAGGTCCAGATGGTCTCTCTCGCGTCCAGCAGCACCGTTCCTCCCATCTCTTCTCCTCCCAACACCAACAAGCACGAGCCATCTATACCACTTATCACGGAAGCAGCATCCCTAGTGCAGACTCAATGTCGTGCATGTGGATGGTCATGAGCTGCTCCTCGCAGCAGCAGTACCGGCACCGCCACGCCTCCGTTCCTCCTGCTTCCTCCGACCTGCCACCGCCAGACTACTCTTCCTCCCTCCCTCCCACCTATCACACCCGTCATGGTGGCAGCATCCCCAGCGCGGCTTCAATGTCGTGCATGTGGATGGTCATCAGCTGCTCCTCACAGCAGCAGTCCAGGGGAAGCCTCAGGTCCAGATGGTCCCGGGCATCCAGCAGCACCGGCACTGCCATGCCGCCGTTCCTCTCCCTGCGCTGCTTCGCTGACGTGTGTGCTACGATCGCCTCTGCCAATGCCTCTTCTGAACATGAGGAGTGGAGCCTGGAGTGGGGAGTGGGGGAACGGGGGGTTGGGGGAACGAGGGGGTGGGGTGGTGAGATAGAGGTTAGCAACTTCTTGTACGCAGCAGCACACAGCAGAGATGTGCCTCTGTGCCACTCAGAGCCTATTTTTGAGTCGACTCAAATATCGGCTTCTTGAATGCAGCAGCACACAACAGAGATGTGCACCTGTGCCACTCAAACCGACTCACCTGAAGCCAGTAATAGGCAGAGATGACTTTGAGTCAACTCAAAATTCATTATGGAAGAGTAGTGTATCTATAGATACGCAACTGGGAGATGTCTTCTCTCGGATGGACTCACCTGAAACCAGTGAGCGGAGACATGTCCACGTCATCACCAGCTTCACTCTCCTCCTTGCTCCCACCGCTCCCATTCCCATTCCCACTCCCATTCTCATTGCGAATGCCACCACTCCCATTCCCACTCCCATTCTCATTGCTAATGCCACTGCTTCCACCCGCAAAATCCCCTCCTCTTCCACCCGCCTCCACTCCAACCGGCCATTTCCCCACTTCCTCTCCTTGCAGTTGGTGGATCATGGAACCATCAGCTACACAGGGCATACTCCCTCCGCCTCCTGCCAGCTCATCACTGCCGTTCCTGATGCTACCATCCGAAGCCGCACCGCTGCTGCGGTTACCACACCGTTCGTTACAGTCACATGCTGTTCCCCTCCCACCCAGACTGCTACACTCCTCACCCTGCCCCCCTCCCTTCCTCTCATCTGCCCCTGCATCCTGCTGCTTCCCCTGTGGCTCCATCTCCTCATCCCTTCGCTCCTCCACTCGCTCCCCAATCTTACTATATTCCCATTGCCTCTCTCCCCTTACATGCGTCTGCTCCATCTGCCCTTCACGCATACCCCCTTTCTGCTGAATCTGGGTCTCCTCTACTGGGTGAGAATTCTCACACTCCACGCCTCCCAATCTCCCCTGCTCCCCCTTCTGACCATACCCCATCTTCAGCAGCATCACCCTGGCAATCTCCCTCGGGCTGAAATCATCAAAAGTAAAACACTTATTAACCCTCCTCTTAAACCCCTCATTAGCCTCGAAAACTCGCTGCATCGGCTCTGCATACCCCGCAAAAATCACCACCAGTTTCCCCGAATCCATAACTGTCATTATCTCCTCTAAAGCCTCAATCCCATAGTCTTTCTCCTCACTCCTTTGACACGGCATAAGCCTATAAGCCTCATCTACGAACAGAATCCCTCCTTCTGCTTCCTCGATCTTCCTCCTCGTTTTCGGACCCGTATGCCCCACATATTCCCCGACTAAGTCCGTTCTTTGCACCTCCACGACCTTATTTAAGGGTAAAACACCCACCAGCGCCAGCATCCGGGCTAGCACCCGCGCCACGGTTGTTTTTCCGGTGCCCGGGCTGCCCAGAAAAGCCATGTGTGGGGCGCGACGGGGAGGAACGGGCAGCCCAAGTGCCCGACGCCTTTGGTCTAGTAGGAGACCTTTCCCCCATGTCCTTAGCTGCTGCTTTAACGAGTGGAGGCCTACTAACGAGGATAGCTCCTTTTCAAGCTGATCCATTACTAGCTTTGCTCCGTGCACTGCCAATTCAGCCTGTAACGGATAGAAGGACCGTAGGGAAGAGAAGAGAAAACGAGATGTTGCAGCTGCCCAGAAACATGCTTCTCGTTTTCATACTTTGCCCTTCTGACTATGCTATGTTCCTTCTATCAAGCAGAAACCTTTATACATGCACGCCCACCATACCTGCAGCCTTGTTCGCCTGCTGATGTGTCGTTGCAGCAGAGCCTGCACCTCTCGGCACACAGAGCACCGCGTGGCTCGGCTGGGAAGCAGCGCCATGGGCGTGTTGCCGTCCTGAAGTGGGTGGGAGACACGAAGAGACGAGACCTGAGGGGAAGATACGAGAGGGAAAGAGATGGGAGCACATGAGCAGCGCCTGCACCTCTCAGCACATAGAGCACCACGTGACTCGACTGGGAAGCAGCGCCAGGGGGGTGTTGCCGTCCTGAAAAGGGTGGGAGACACGAAGAGACGAGACATGAGGGGAAGATACGAGAGGGAAAGAGATGGGAGCACATGAGCAGCGCCTGCACCTCTCAGCACATAGAGCACCACGTGACTCGACTGGGAAGCAGCGCCAGGGGGGTGTTGCCGTCCTGAAAAGGGTGGGAGACACGAAGAGACGAGACCTGAGGGGAAGATACGAGAGGGAAAGAGATGGGAGCACATGAGCAGCGCCTGCACCTCTCAGCACATAGAGCACCACGTGACTCGACTGGGAAGCAGCGCCAGGGGGGTGTTGCCGTCCTGATGGCGTGGGAAGGACGGACGAGGTGTGGGAGATGAGATGTGACGGAAAGAGGCACCAGGAAAAGGGACAGGAGCACATGAATGTGTGCTGTTGCAGCAGAGCCTGCACCTCTCGGCACACAGAACACCTGGGTCGACTGGGAAGCAGTGCCATGGGCGTGTCACCATCCTGAACCATTATTGACCCCTCTATACCGCACTGAACCGTACCTTATCAACAGCACACGGGTCTGCATTGGCTTCTAGCAGCACTGCCACAGCCGCCACCACTCCCTCACCATATTCCCTGCTGCCACCACCCTTCACTCCACCAGCAGCACCACCACCATTTGCACCAGAACAACCAGCACCAGCAGCAGCAGCAGACGGGGAGAACATACACCCGTCCGCAGCAGCAGAACCAGAAGCAGAGGCAGCAGCAGCTGCAGGCAGGGAGTCGAAACTGGTGGGGGACGATGGTGTGGGTGGCGGGCAGGTGGAGAAGGCCGAACTATAGGCGCTCAGGGAAAGCAGTCGAGGGGAGAGGGGCTGGGGGGAGAGCGGACGAGGGGAGCAGGGGGAGAGTGGTCGGGGGGAGAGCTCCCCTGGGGAGAGTGGTTTGGGGGAGAGTTCCCCTTGGGAGTGGCGCAATGGAGATGGTTTAGAGGGAGAGACTGTTGGGTCTGCTTGATGCGTCAGGTGCTGCTGCTGCTGCTGCGCTAGCTGCTGTGATCCAGGTGCCGATTCAGGTGACTTTGCTGGCCCAGGTGTCGCTTCAGGTGCTGATTTTGCTGTGGCTAGCGGCTTGCTAGGCGGATGGGCGGCAATGCTGCAGTTGAAGTTGCTACCAGTGTCGCTGCCAGTGTTGCTACTAGCAGATTGCACAGCAGCCCACACGGCGAGATGGACAGGCGTCATGCCGTTCTGATGGCAGGTGAGGGGATGAGATAGAGAAGGTGGGAGCGAAGGGGATGGGGGGATGGAAGGAAAGGGTTGGTTTGAATAGGAGTTCGGGAGGAGAGAGAGAGTTAGGAAGAGTATTGTAGACGCAGAGTTTCCTCTTTCAATGGTGCAGCAAGCTAAAGGAAATGGAAACGACGAAATGAAGGGTGGGGGTGAGGAGGGGCGGAGAGGGGTCGGAGCGGGAAGGTGGCCGCCTTACCGTGGCAGCGACGTCCGCCCGAGCGCCTGCTCGTAGCAGCAGCCGAATGGCATCCGCGTTGCTACAAGCTGGTTCCGGAGAAGAAAAAAAAAATCGTGGAGCAGAGAGGGAGCTTACCGTGGCAGCGACGTCCGCCCGTGCGCCTGCTCGTAGCAGCAACCAAATGGCATCCACGTTGCTGCTCTTGGCCGCCACAAGCACAGGTGTCTCGCCGAACTGTAAACGGGGAAGGGGGGTAGGAAAGCGAGGAGAGGAAGGGGAAAGGGGGAAAGGGGAATGAGAAGTGAGGTGTGAGAAGGGAACCCGACAAATGGCGTCCGCGTTGCTGCTCTTGGCCGCCACATGCACAGGTGTCTCGCCGAACTGCAGAGAAGGAAAAAGGGAGAGGGAGACGTGAGAAGAGGGAAGGGGGAAGGGAGAAGGGGGAAGAGGGAATGGGGACGGGGGAATGGGGAATGGGGAATGGGGAATGGGGAATGGGGAAGGGGGAAGGGGGAAGGGGTAAGGGGGAAGGGGTAAGGGGGTAAGGGGGAAGGGGGAAGGGGAGACTCGGTTCTCCAACTGTCCCATTGCCCTTAAGACTCTGAGGGACTCTGACTGCTACCTGATGGCAACATCCTGTTTTACCAGAACAGCAGTGCTAACAGCGTCTTTTAAGACGTCTCAGAAGTTTTGAGAATCTCAAAAGTTTTGAGACGTCTCAAAACTTTTGAGAGGTCTCAAAACTCTGACCGCAAACCGAGGGCACCATCCTGTTTTACCATGACAGCACCATCCTGTTTTACCATGACAGCACCATCCTGTTTTACCATGACAGCACTGCTAACAGCTTCACCGTTTGTTCAACTCGTCTCACCACGGTCCGTCCGCCCTCAGCTTGCTGTTCTCACAACAATCGACGCTGATTAAGCCCGTTACAGCAGTCAACTCGTCTCACCACGGTCCGTCCGCCCTCAGCTTGCTGTTCTCACAACAATCGACGCTGATTAACCCCGTTACAGCAGTCAGCTCGTCTCACCACGGTCCGTCCGCCCTCAGCTTGCTGTTCTCACAACAATCGACGCTGATTAACCCCGTTACAGCAGTCAGCTCGTCTCACCACGGTCCGTCCGCCCTCAGCTTGCTGTTCTCACAACAATCGACGCTGATTAACCCCGTTACAGCAGTCAACTCGTCTCACCATGTTCCGCGCTTCCACGTCTGCCTTCACTTCTGCCCCGCCGCACGACCCCCTCCAGTCCAGGAGAAAGCGGAGAGCCTCGAGGTGCCCCTCCGCCACGGCGAGATGGAGAGGCGTCTGACACACCTGGGTGACGAGGAGTGGAGAAGGGTGGAGAGGGGTGGAGAGGGTTGGCGAGGGGAGGCGTAACATAGGTTAAGCGTGGCATGGGAAGGGCGTGACGTGGGTAGAGTGAGACACTGGGACGTGACAGGATTGGAACGTGCGCAGTGAGGCTGTCTGAAGGATTATTGCAAGTCACCCACAGCTTCATTTCCACGTGATAAAAGTTGTATTTTGAGACGTCTCAAAAGACAGGATTGGAACGTGCGCAGTTGCGCAGTGAGGCTCTCTGATGGGATTATTGCAAGTCACCCGCAGCTTCATTTCCTTCCGCTCACCGGCAATTGCCTCTCGTTAATAGCACCAGGTCTAACTGTTAGCGCATCGCGCAGCGCCTCTACGTCCCCCTCCCGAGCTGCCACGTGTACTGAAATCCGCTTCTTGCTCCGCACTACAGCCGCAGCTTCCGGCGCGGCTCTAGTAGCGGCTCCCCCCTCACTTGCGGAACGGTCGTCCGCCGCTTCCCCCCAATCCAGTCTCCGCCTAGCCGCGGCGCAGCACCGCCGACCAACTCTCCCCCTCGCCGCATCCCCGCCGTCACTCATTCCCGATTCCGCTTCCCCCGAGCCTAACCCTCCACAACAGCCGCAAGAAGACGAAGGGGCTAGCGCTTCAATCGAAGCATGCTGTAACGAGGACGATGGGATGCTGGTTGCCCCGGTGCAAGGGCTCTCGATATCAGGGACCACCAATATCTGCGGCGCTACTCGCGGTGGAGAGGAGATGTGAGAGACATGGCCTGCTGGACCTGTTTGACCGGTTTGAATGGCTTGACCGTCTTGACCTGGACCATCCGATTGCGACGACTGCGACGACTGCGACGACCCGTCAACGGACTCTACTACGACGAACGACGAACCACCTGAAATCTGGGAAACTCCATTTGATTGGTCGCTCTGGTTGTTACCAGACACCTGAAGTTCTGTAACCTGGCGCGGCTCAACGAACATATCGCCATTTTCGTCAGTTGTCGTAATCTCTTCGCGAATGTCTTTGCTAAGCGTTTCGCACTTGGCTGGGGAAGAGCGAGACCTGGAAAATCCGAGGGTGCTGGTAACGGAAGGGCCGAGCTCGACAGGCGGCGGGAGAGACGGGCCGTATCTAGCGGAAACGGCGGGACCGAAGGGAGCAGGTGACGGGATAATCTCGGCCGCTGGTGAACTGAGCGAAGGGGATAACGGATGGTTGAGATTGGAGAGCGCTGGCGAAATGGTGAATCTGAACGAGCCGGAATCGGCTGAGTCTGGAGAGGAAGAGGCTCGTTGCTGCTGCGGTTGGGGAGTTTCATGTTGAGGGATCTCGGTGGGAGCTGGGTCAGGGTTGGATACGCGTGGGAGAAAGGAATCAAACGAGGCGCGAACGGAGTCCGTGCACGGGAAAACGGAATAAGTTGAAGCGGCGTTCGAATCCGTCACGGTTTGAACGGAGTCTCTGACAGTGTGAACGGAATCTGTTGAGGAAGTGGGAGGGGAATCTAGGGTGACGGTGGAGAGCTGGGGAAGCGAGACTGTGCGGGAAGCGGAGTGAGGAACGCTGGTGGGTTGCGAGGAGGAAGAAGCGGACGTTGATGAGGATGAGAAAGTGGATGAAGAGGAGGAGGAGCCATGGCCAGTTGTGTGTCTCCTTGGCGGTGCTGTTCCGCGCGGTGCTGTTGCTCCTCCTACTGAATTTCCTGGGATAAAATCGAATATCGTCTCTAGCGTCTGCTCCTTAGTCAGAGCGCCTCTCCTGTCCGCTACAATGAACATTCTCCTAGGACTACTTATTCTTACTAATAGTGGAACAATCCTTTCGTTATGCGCGCTATGCCAGCATGCTGCTACTACGTGCGAGAACCGCTTAGGAACCCTGAATACTTTAGCAGAATTGCGAGAGACGCTCAAATGTTACGACTACCCAAACAGCGAGTTGAAAGACAACTGAGAGGCGAGAAAAGACAAACACATGTTGCAGGCAGATAAAGCCTTCGAGAATGCGGTAATGTTTTCCAAGGATTCCAGGCACACAGATGATGCTGGAGAAGAACAAGGCAACTGAAAGCTACGAGAGGAATACATTCAGATGTCTGAATGGAGTCGGCCTTGGCGACTGTTGCGAAAGGTCACGGAGACTGGACGAGTTGCGAAGGTTAGGCGCGAAGTCCAGGTAGTACTCGACGGCTAGATATCCAAGATCGACGGTATGGTCTCGTCGCGAAGGATTGTTGCGGAAGTGAGTGGGCTGCAACGAAAAGGGATGTCAAGTTGCGACTGTTTGCGGACGTCATGGCTGTCGCAAATGATTTTGTTTTGTTCCAGCGACAAGGCACTACCCACACGTAACTTCGCCAAGCCGTCAGTGTACTACACTCCTGTCAGACCATGGCCGACACGGCTTGCCAACACGCGACGCGAAAGAGAGGTTTCCCGCCAATAACCAAGCACAACAACACGGCCAGCTCAGCAAAGTCAACGGTTGGTAGGATTTCGAAGGTACAGCTCACTATCCTTACCATAATAGGATATTGTTGTCACATTCCTTCAAAACAAATAGCAGTCATTATGAGCTAATATGATCTTCATTTGGCTTACCGTATGTGGCGTAAGAATGAACTTGCTCCCACAGCATGATGTACCGCATCATGCTGAAGTTGCACACTTGATATAATGGCATAACAGGTTGAAATCGTGTGGCATCAAGCCTCATCTTCTGCAACACCGCAAACAAGCGCAAACAAGGACACATGAGCACAATTGTGGAAACAGGATATTGGGAAAGTGCAAATGTGTGCTTGACGTGCCACACGACACTTACCTAACCGTTTGAATCTATGATTGCCACGTAAACACCACCAGGCGGCAAGTATCACGAGAAGCAGCAGAAGCACACTCCCCACCACAATGACCACTATCAACCAAATGGGCATTCCTGTAAAGGGGACACAGAAACAAGAGTAAGGCACGAAGACCAAAACAACCAGCACTTGCAATGCAGCGAAACATGACAGCGAAGTTCACTGCTGATTATTAGACATGGCACAAAAACATGGACCAGTATTGTAAATTCTCCCAAGTACGGTAATCAGTGCACTGACCTCCCCCTCCACTGCCACTGCTCTCACCATTGCTTATTCCGACAGGTGGCGATGCTTCTGCTGCACTCACTGCTGCTGCTGCTGCTGCAGTTCCCCCTCCTTCACCTGGTACCACATTCACCTCCTCTCCCTCCTCCTCCTCTTTCTCCAAGGACACTGGCACCACTTCGAATAGCTCCACAGCACTCAGGACAGCTGGCAGCGTGCTATTGGCTGCTGTGCGCACGCCTACCTGGTCGAGGAGCAAGGGAAAAGCGAGGGCAAAGCGAGAATGAGTGTGAGCAAGTGAGGGATGGGGCTCTGAGCTTCAGTGGTAGTCACAACGTGAGGAGTCAAGGAGTTGACGTGTCTTGAGACGTCTCAAGAAGCGAGGGCAAAGCGAAAATGAGTGAGAGCAAGTGCGCAAGGAGGCTCTGAGCCTCAGTGGTAAGTAATCACAAGGTGAGGAGACGACCCAAGAAGTGAGGGCACAATAATAATGAGTGAGAGATGGAGCTGAAGCCTCAATGGTATTTTTTTGAGAATTCTCTGTTTTTTTAGAATTCTCAAAAAAGTAATAATGAGTGAGAGATGGAGCTGAAGCCTCAATGGTAATCACAAGGTCAGGAGCCAAGGAGCTGACGTGTCTATACGCCAATGCATTGACTCACAATGAGAAACACCCATCTCAAAGTAATGTTCGTATAACGATGCCCATAGTGCGTTGTTGGTGAGCATACAGTGATGCTCACAAACGAATGTGCTTATAATAATGCTCAACCAGCAGCAAGACGAACCCCGAGGTCCTCTGAACAGCTGCGGGAGAAGCGGAAGCAGCCCACAAGCAAATGTGCTGTGTGCTGGTAATGATGCTAACAAGCTAATGTGCTTATGATGCTTAAGCACAGCACCCACCTCCAAGTCCTCTGAACGGCCGTGGGAGAAGCGGGAGAAGTTGAAGAGGAGGGGGACGATGAGGGCCGTGCGGGGAGGCACGTGCGAGAGAATGTCGAAATCCGAAGATGCTTCCGCTGCTGCCGCTGCTGCTGTTGATGATGATCCTAATGCTGCTTCTGCTGCCGAGTTAGCAGCACCACCAGCAGCACCACCAGCACCTGCAGCACCTGCACCAGCACCAGCACCAGCACCAGCACTCCCACTCCCCGTCCCGCCTCGGCCCCCCAGCAGCCCGATTCTATTCCCCAGAGCCACCACCCGACGGCCGCTCCCCAGCAAGATGTCAAACCGCCGGTCGCCCACCTTGGCAGTTACATTCATCTCAGCAAAGTAGAAGCGCATGTACCAGAGGTTCGATGCGTGCGCTGGTATCAGAGCCATCCGGAACCCCGTGATCTGCACGCCTGGGGAAGGAGGAGCTGCACCTGCTGTGCCGGCTGAGGCTTGAGGATCTGTACCTGTGAGCACGCGCCTGTGCTGCTGTTGGTGCTGCTGCTCTTGGTCTCCATGCTCGTAGTCCTGATTCTGAACGATGCTGTTGTGGTGGCTCCGATTCTCAAAGGGTCTTGTTAGCATCTGGGGAAGCAGGGCAGCGCACTTGGTGCAGAGCTCATCATGGGAGACGCGACCACTCAAGGCCAGCCCAGCATGGGAGTGATGATTGCTTGAGCCCAGTTTATCGTGGAAGCCACGAACACTCAAGTCCAGCCCATTATGGGAGCGATGATCCTGAAAGCTCAGTCGTCTGCGAGAACGCACCTGTCTCTGACCTTGCCCTTGTTGCCCCTGCCCCTGCCCCTGCCCCTGCCCCTGCCCCTTGCCATCCACTGATTGCAACTCCAACCCCCCAGCCGACCTCCAGTCTTCAAATATCATCCCAGGTAAAAACTCAGGTGGCTTTCTCGTCCCTGCAATCCCCCTCCCTCTCGCCCACCCTCTCCTCCTCCCCACCACAGCCCCCCCAAGCCGAGCCATCTCCTTCTCCCAAACCACATCCGCAATCCAGGTTCGGAACCCCGGGTCCTCAGGCTCGGGCCCAACCTGCCCGCCGCCCATGTTGATCCGGAGATAAGACGAGAGGATAATATCTGGGCCGAGGGTGGCAGAGTCGTAAGCTTCTGAGTGAACGGGGAGAATCTCTAGGGAGTTAATGATAGGAGGGGCGTGGGAGGGGTTCTGTGTGAGGAAACAGATAGAAATGGTTCCATTGCTGCTCCTTGGTGTTCCATTGCTGCTACTCTCTGTTCCACTGCCGCTCGTTTCGGTTCCATTGCTGCCCCTTGCTGCCTGGGTGAAATTTCCCTCTTTCCCCATTTCCTGTCCCTTTCCGCCTAAGCCCTCTGCTCCTGCTCCACCTGCTCCTGCTCCACCTGCTCCACCTGCTCCACCTGCTCCACCTGCTCCTGCTCCACCTGCTCCATCTGCTCTTGCGCCACCTGCTCCTGCTCCACCTGCTCCTCCTCCTCCCCCCCCTGTCGCCCCTCCTGCTGCCATCCCATTTCTGCCTCCGCTTCCCCCTTGCTCGTCTATACCCCCCCCTGGGATTGTCCCTCCCCCAGGGGCATACGCCATGTAGTCAGAATAGTACGCTCCTGATACAAGCCTCTGCTCCACTACACCCATATCCACTGCCTCCACTACAGTATTCTGCAGCTTAACTAAAAAAAAAGGCGGCGCGCTTTGGTTATCGTAATCATAATAAGCAAACCCTACTCGCACTAAGTATCGCCCGGGTATTACAGGAACCCTGTAGCAGCCTTTAAGTGTTGGGAAATAACGCATAGATGCTTCTACCGAGGATAAAAGGTTGCCGAGGGCGATGTTCTGGGTGAGGGAAACTGGTAATCCGTTACGCTGGTCGGCGGGGTTCGTGCGCTGGTTACCAGATGTGCTTATATCGAAGTATTGGTCTGCTTGCCATTGGATCCCGTTAATAGTTGCGGCGACTGTGCTTCCACAGTCGATACGGATGGGCACTGGTGTTGAAACGGGGAGAGGGAAGGGGGTAATGAGGGACGGGATGGGACGAGACGAGATGGGGTGTAGTGGTGCATTTTATCCCGTCAATAGCTGTGTAACTGTGCTTCTACCATCGATACGGATGGGAACTGGTGATGGTTGGGAAAGAGGGAACGGAGGTAGGAGGGGAGAGGGAATGGGGCAATGGGAGAGGAAAGGAAACGATGAGATGAGGTGTAGGGGTGTAATGATGAATGAGGTGTAGGGGTGCAATGATGAATGAGATGTAGGGGTGCAATGATGAATGAGGTGTAGGGGTGCAATGATGAATGAGGTGTAGGGGTGCAATGATGAATGAGGTGTAGGGGTGCAATGATGAATGAATACTGTTAATAGTTGTGGCGCCTGTGTTTCCACAGTCCATACGGATGGGCACTGGTGTGGCTGGGGGGTGCATGTGGGTGGATAGGGGCCGGAGAGGGAAGGGGATAACGGGGGAAGGGATGGGATGAGATGAGGTGTAGTGCATGTCGCGTCCTGTATACTGAAGCGGCTTAGAACGGGTGTGGACGGACGGGGAGGGACACGGGTGTGGGTGTGTGTGACAGGGGAGGGACATGGCAGAAGTGGCAGAGGGGAGTTGTGAGGAGGGAAGGATTACGAGGGTTTGTTTGGGAATATGATATAAAGGTAATAAACCAAGGGGAAGAAGGGCGGGGGGGGGGGCGGGGGAGAAGGGGGAACGAAAAGGGAGATGGTTGGAGAAGGGGGAACGAAAAGGGAGAAGGTGTGGGGAAGAGTGAGGGATGAAAGGTGGGGATGCGAGGTCGCACCAGTGGTTGGTCGCGCGGCGACAGCTGGCGACACGTGCGACGCCAGGCATGCGACGAGGTAGAGAAAGCACTGGCAGAACAGTCTCCTGAGCGAAGAGAATGATGTGTGAAGGGTGGGCTGGTTCCGAGTTCCCGAAAAGTGCGCTGGGGAGGATAGTAAGGCGAGGTGCACTGAAGAAGCGGCGCTGCGGAGTGCTGGTGAAGCGGCGGAATAGCGGCGCCAGGGACGTTCCAAGAATATTCGCCTTATAGCCATTTCGTTATTAGCACAAGCGGTCGAGCTTGTTTTCGTTTATTCGGGTATAATCAAGTGCACAGTGTCGTACACCAGTCAGCGACATTCGTTCACGGGAACGCCGGACGTGCGACGCGAAAACATCGTCGCACGTTGCTGCACTGTTCGCATTCAGCGACAACCCAGCGCTGGGCTGTCGCTAGCCTACCTGTTGTCACTAGCCTACAGGTCGTTAGTCTCCTGCTCCTACAAGATAGCCTGTTAGGAATGTTATGGTTCTCCCAACGGCTAGTTATTTAGTTTACTAATAAAATAGATGGGTTACGCAGCCTCAAGAACACCCCAGTAGAACAGCACATAAGGAACCCCAAAAGACACCCCAACGAGATACCCCCAACGAGACACCCCAACGAGACACCCCAACGAGACACCCCAACAATACGCCCCATCTAACCAAACCCCCCACCCCCCTCACCTAAACCCACCCTCTAAACCCGCATGTCCACCAAATAGGGCGCATCCGCCCACGGAGCATCCCATCCCATCTCCTCCTCAAAATCCTCCCGCTCCACCGAAACAGCCTCTGGGCCTCTCATCATCGACGCCGCGCGCAACAAGATCACACGCGCCTGAGCCCGCTGCAAAGCCACACCTATGGCCGCTTTAAGTGATCCAAGCAAGTAAGCCGAGAAACCTTTCCCCGTAGCTCTCGCCGCCCCTTTCGTCTTCGCTACCTCAATCTGCGCGTCGCCCTGTTTCTTAAGCCACCGCCCAAAACTCCCCCCCAGGCAACCCCATGTCTCAGCAATGAGAGGTGTAAACTGCACTCCCCTATGTCGCTGCAGAAGCAATTTGTAGTCCGCCGCCTTCCGCTTTTCCCTCTCTCTAGCGGCAAAACCCACCTTGCGACCAATCTGTCCATGGTGCTGCGCGGACAACGAGATAGGGTCCACCACACTAACCTCCAGCGCATGCTCCTCCCCCTCCCTCAGTCTCCGCACCGCCACATCCACCCTCTTCCCTGGCAGCAACGTGTCGTCTTCCATGGTCACGACCCCACCCGCCCCTTTAGCTATCTTCGCCACCACAAACTTAACCGCGTCGTGAACACGAGAAGGTGCGTACTGGTACTTGCAGCGAAGGGCATGATGCGGGTCAGAGGGATCAGCAAACTCAAACCCACACGCGCACTTGCCGGCGACTATCAGCTGCTGTATGGGGAGGCCTAGACGCATGGACGCACAGATGCTCCACTCGGCTGCGGTGAAGGTAGCCTCTTCGTGCGAAGGGACGGCAGAGACCCACGCCCCTGCCTCCGGGCCCTGAAGGGATGTCAAACGGGCCATGGTGGCGTCGTCGTGGGCCATACCCCGAAGAGTCTGCAGACTCTCAACCGCTAGGCGACGGTGTTGTGTGGGGAAAAGCAGCACAGGGGGGTCAGCGGTGCATAAGGCTAGGGGTGGCATCTCCTGCCTGACCGACTGTGGCAGCAGCTCCACTGCTCTCGCAAACCAAGGATCCAGCAAGGTCGTAGCCTCGGGCGTGCGGAAAAACTCCTCAAACATCCGTTCCTCCCCTGCCACCCCCATCCGAGCCACATCGCTCACTGCCTGGCACCAACCACATGCGTACGACAGAGGGCTAAGGCCAGCTGCAGATCGAATGCCAAACCCTCCAAGTCTGGCTGGAAGGTGCAGCTGTAGACGGGCCATCTGCGACCTTGCCGAATCATGATCCCAGGTGCTATCTGGAAACAGCTGCTCAAAACAATCCTCAAGCTTCGTGTCCCAGTCGCGGAAAGCCTCCACAACCTCAGGCCGTGGAGGCATCGTCCTTGTGAGGTAAATCGGGCGCGCTGACACTGCGATCGCCAGCAGATGGGACGCAATCTGTGGGTGGTCGAGCAAAGGAAGCCAAGGGACAGGTGCATGCAGCTGCATCAGCCGGCCTCGCAAGCTGGCCACCTCCCACTCCTCCTCCCCAATAGGAACCCCCACTACGGTGAGCCCCGTCCATGTTTGCTGCATGCCGGGCGGGACGGTCTCGTTCCTCTCCTCTCCCTCCTGGTCCACCCCTCGCTCCCAAAGCTTGCACTTATGCGGCTGCACCTCCAGACCAAGCCCGCCCAGTCGTTCCCGCAAGACCTCATAAGCTGCTAGCACCCGCTCCCTAGGCCCCAAGATGTACGTATCATCGGCGTAGCTGAGAAAGAGTAGGTCGGCGAATTCTTGTTTGGTGGGCTCCATAACCAGCTGCTGTGTGAACGCGAACAGAAACGGCCCCAATGGGTCCCCTTGCCTCGATCCTCGCTCTGAAGCCAAAGCTTCGACGAAGGGGCCCGCACGGAGGTAGAGGTCGCTAGGAGTGCCGTAGAAGACACGCAGGAATGGGATCAAACCCGCAAAAGGCGACTGTCGAAGTCCTTCAAACATTTCCCGCCGATGGAAGGAGTTGAAAGCATTCGCCACATCAATTTGAAGCGCGCACCATGACGGGTGAGTAGAGATGGCAGAACGAAAGGCATGTGCGAGGACTTCCACTCCCGACCTGGATCCGACTCCTAGCTGGTTACACGGCGCAAAGTGCGACATCATCTTCGGCCGAAGCACGATGCATAGGGCCCGAGATAGTATGCGGGGGAGCACCTCGCCTATAGCCACCGGGCGAACGTCACCATTCGGCTTCGACAGGCCCACAAGGTTGGACGCAGTGAGCCAGGGTCGCACGCGCTCCGCTACCTCTCCCTTGGTCCACTGGGTGAAGACTCCTAGCAGGTGAGGCAGGTATGCGGGCTCAGAGAGAAAAGTGTCGCGCAGGTGCTCCGTCACCCACCCCGACGGTCCTGGTGCCGACGCCCTAGCCGCAGAGTGGATCGCCTGACCAAGTACCTCCACTGAGAGCTGCGGGATAAGGAAAGGCTCAACTATCTCCTCCTGCAACCACTCCGGAAAGGCGGTCTCGCTCGATGGGTGTTTCGCTCGCAGCGCGTCCACCATGTGCTGAGAGGGCTGAGCGATGCTACCGGCAGTAAGACACGTCAAACCCCGACTCCATTCTCCCACTTTGCACCTTGTGCGGCAGCGAGCCAGGCGCACCGCATCAGGATCATGCTCGGGGGGGGTGAAGGACAAAGGACGCGCCGCAGGTTGCATTACCGCCACCGCCAACTCAAACAGCTCCCGCCACTCCCCGACCCAAAACTTCTCCAACCGCTCCCTGATTGCCGCCCTATGCCCCTGGCCTTGCCCAGTTGGCATCCCCAAGATAAGACGAGGGAAGGCCAAAAAGACCAAGGACGCCGCCTCGTCTGCTGCCTTTAACTGTAGCCGCTTCAGGACACAAGACAGTGCATCAAGCACCCCCAATCTAGCGCGCTGTGGGATACGACGCATGATTCTCCCTGGCACCAATTCGATCCCAAAAAACGACTCCCAGTCCCATGTAGGAACTGCGGCCCATACCTCTTCACTGATATCACGTGGTGGCGGGGGTTCGCCGTCCGAGTCATCTGTGACGTCGCGGGTCAACCCAAGCGCCTGAGCACGACGCTGGGCGTCCGCTGCCCTGCAGGCCGACATATGGCGTGTGGCCTTTCCTCTCTCCGTGAACGTGCGATAACAGGTTTCGCACGGAATGCGGGGCGGGGGTGTCAATGTAGGGTCTGGGTGCTCCTCTCCACTTGAACACGCCGGCAAGACCCTCCTGCTAGACTCCGTCTCCATGCCCCCCTCTAACGGCCTTGCAAGCTCCATCCCTCCGCACTGCAGCTGCTGCTGCCCTCCGCTCTGCAACTGCTGCTGCCCTTCCCTCTGCAATTCCCGTTGCCCTCCGCTCTGCAGCTCCTGCTGCCCTCCGCTCTGCAGCTGCTGCTGCCCTCCGCTCTGCAGCTGCTGCTGCCCTCCGCTCTGCAGCTGCTGCTGCCCTCCGCTCTGCAGCTGCTGCTGCCCTCCGCTCTGCAGCTGCTGCTGCCCTCCGCTCTGCAGCTCCCGCTGCCCTCCGCTCGGCAGCTGCTGCTGCCCTCCGCTCTGCAGCTGCTGCTGCCCTCCGCTCTGCAGCTGCTGCTGCCCTCCGCTCTGCAGCTCCTGCTGCCCTCCGCTCTGCAGCTGCTGCTGCCCTCCGCTCTGCAGCTGCTGCTGCCCTCCGCTCGGCAGCTGGTGCCCTCCGCTCTGCAGCTGCTGCTGCCCTCCGCTCGGCAGTTGCTGCTGCCCTCCGCTCTGCAGCTGCAGCTGCCCTCCGCTCGGCAGCTGCTGCTGCCCTCCGCTCTGCAGCTGCTGCTGCCCTCCGCTCGGCAGCTGCTGCTGCCCTCCGCTCTGCAGCTGCTGCAGTTTGGTTGCCCGTCGCCTCCGGCCCCGGCCCCGCGCTCGGGGCCTTTCCGCTTGGTCCAGGGAATCAGGGTTGGCATCCTCCCCCTCCATTGGGCTTGATTCCAGCTCATCGGTGCAAGCCTCGTTCGCATCTCCACATCCAACACCCAAACCGGCTCTTGCTGCCCTCCGCTCCGCAGCTGCTGCTGCCCTCCGCTCTGCAGCTCCCGCTGCCCTCCGCTCGGCAGCTGCTGCTGCCCTCCGCTCTGCAGCTGCTGCTGCCCTCCGCTCTGCAGCTGCTGCTGCCCTCCGCTCTGCAGCTCCTGCTGCCCTTCGCTCTGCAGCTCCTGCTGCCCTCCGCTCTGCAGCTGCCGCTGCCCTCCACTCGGCAGCTGCTGCTGCCCTCCGCTCGGCAGCTGCTGTTGCCCTCCGCTCTGCTGCTCCTGCTGCCCTCCGCTCTGCAGCACCTGCTGCCCTCCGCTCTGCAGCTCCTGCTGCCCTCCGCTCTGCAGCTCCTGCTGCCCTCCGCTCTGCAGCTCCTGCTGCCCTCCGCTCTGCAGCTGCTGCTGCCCTCCGCTCGGCAGCTGCTGCTGCCCTCCGCTCGGCAGCTGCTGCTGCCCTCCGCTCTGCAGCTGCTGCTGCCCTCCGCTCGGCAGCTGCTGCTGCCCTCCGCTCTGCAGCTGCTGCTGCCCTCCGCTCGGCAGCTGCTGCTGCCCTCCGCTCTGCAGCTGCTGCTGCCCTCCGCTCGGCAGCTGCTGCTGCCCTCTGCTCTGCAGCTGCTGCTGCCCTCCGCTCGGCAGCTGCTGCTGCCCTCCGCTCTGCAGCTGCTGCAGTTTGGTTGCCCGTCGCCTCCGGCCCCGGCCCCGCGCTCGGGGCCTTTCCGCTTGGTCCGGGGAATCAGGGTTGGCATTCTCCCCCTCCATGGGGCTTGATTCCAGCTCATCGGTGCAAGCCTCGTCCGCCATCTCCACATCCAACACCCAAACCGGCTCTTGCTGCCCTCCGCTCTGCAGCTGCTGCTGCCCTCCGCTCTGCAGCTCCCGCTGCCCTCCGCTCGGCAGCTGCTGCTGCCCTCCGCTCTGCAGCTGCTGCTGCCCTCCGCTCTGCAGCTGCTGCTGCCCTCCGCTCTGCAGCTCCTGCTGCCCTTCGCTCTGCAGCTCCTGCTGCCCTCCGCTCTGCAGCTGCCGCTGCCCTCCACTCGGCAGCTGCCCCCTCCGCTCGGCAGCTCCTGCTGCCCTCCGCTCTGCAGCTGCTGCTGCCCTCCGCTCGGCAGCTGCTGTTGCCCTCCGCTCTGCAGCTCCTGCTGCCCTCCGCTCTGCAGCTCCTGCTGCCCTCCGCTCTGCAGCTCCTGCTGCCCTCCGCTCTGCAGCTCCTGCTGCCCTCCGCTCTGCAGCTCCTGCTGCCCTCCGCTCTGCAGCTGCTGCTGCCCTCCGCTCGGCAGCTGCTGCTGCCCTCCGCTCGGCAGCTGCTGCTGCCCTCCGGTCTGCAGCTGCTGCTGCCCTCCGCTCGGCAGCTGCTGCTGCCCTCCGCTCTGCAGCTGCTGCTGCCCTCCGCTCGGCAGCTGCTGCTGCCCTCCGCTCTGCAGCTGCTGCTGCCCTCCGCTCGGCAGCTGCTGCTGCCCTCCGCTCTGCAGCTGCTGCTGCCCTCCGCTCGGCAGCTGCTGCTGCCCTCCGCTCTGCAGCTGCTGCTGCCCTCCGCTCGGCAGCTGCTGCTGCCCTCCGCTCTGCAGCTGCTGCTGCCCTCCGCTCGGCAGCTGCCGCTGCCCTCCGCTCTGCAGCTGCTGCTGCCCTCCGCTCGGCAGCTGCTGCTGCCCTCCGCTCTGCAGCTGCTGCTGCCCTCCGCTCGGCAGCTGCTGCTGCCCTCCGCTCTGCAGCTGCTGCAGTTTGGTTGCCCGTCGCCTCCGGCCCCGGCCCCGCGCTCGGGGCCTTTCCGCTTGGTCCGGGGAATCAGGGTTGGCATTCTCCCCCTCCATGGGGCTTGATTCCAGCTCATCGGTGCAAGCCTCGTCCGCCATCTCCACATCCAACACCCAAACCGGCTCCTGCTGCCCTCCGCTCTGCAGCTCCTGCTGCCCTCCGCTCTGCAGCTCCTGCTGCCCTCCGCCCTGCAGCTGCTGCTGCCCTCCGCTCTGCAGCTGCTGCTGCCCTCCGCTCTGCAGCTGCTGCTGCCCTCCGCTCTGCAGCTCCTGCTGCCCTCCGCTCTGCAGCTGCTGCTGCCCTCCGCTCTGCAGCTGCCTCTGCCCTCCGCTCTGCAGCTCCTGCTGCCCTCCGCTCAGCAGCTCCTGCTGCCCTCCGCTCTGCAGCTGCTGCTGCCCTCCGCTTTGCAGCTCCTGCTGCCCTTTGCTCTGCAGCTCCTGCTGCCCTCCGCTCTGCAGCTGCTGCTGCCCTCCGCTCTGCAGCTGCTGCTGCCCTCCGCTCTGCAGCTCCTGCTGCCCTCCGCTCTGCAGCTCCTGCTGCCCTCCGCTCTGCAGCTGCTGCTGCCCTCCGCTCTGCAGCTGCTGCTGCCCTCCGCTCTGCAGCTGCTGCTGCCCTCCGCTCTGCAGCTCCTGCTGCCCTCCGCTCTGCAGCTGCTGCTGCCCCCCGCTCTGCAGCTCCTGCTGCCCTCCGCTCTGCAGCTCCTGCTGCCCCGTCCCCACCGGCGGCTGCCGGCTCCTCTCTCGGGCCCCCTGCTGCCCGCCCACCTGCGGGTCACGCTGACCCCCCACTAGTGGCTCCTGCTGCCTGTCTTTCCTCGCCGCACTCCGGCGCCTCCGCTCCTGCCGCCATGCGAGACGTGGCACGACCGGGGGGATTGCGGCGTCGGCCGAGCCGGCGCCGTGCAACATTGCCCTCACAGGTAGGCAGCGTCTGCGAGTGTCATGCTGTTGTTGCAAGCGCCTACGGTGTTCCTCCCAGGCTGCCCTCGCTACCTCCGATGCCACCCGTGGTACAACCGCCGCCTCGTCGACTGGACCCTTTTCGGTTGTTGCTCCCCCCCTTTCTCCGATGATGGCCGAAGGTACAGGGTAATCGCCGTCAGACCCGGTGTTGGGAGGGTCTTCGAGAGGTTGGCCGCATGTCAGTACTGAAATCGAACGGCCTGCTTCACAACACTGTCTCTTGGCTGGTTTGCCAAAGAGGCACATGTCGCGATATATATTTATATATGTTTATAACTGCCTGTAGCTTTAGCTTTAGTGTAGTTATGTTTCTTTGTTGTGGTGGTGCACCTCTTTGTTTCTTTGCTATATGTTCTTGCAAACCTATAGTGAAGACACACATTCTCGATTCTCTCTTGGCACAACTCCCTCGACACCCGCTTGGCCTAGGCTACTAAGCCTAGGCCCTTAGTTAAACCCGTTCCTAGCTAAGTTCGTCTCGTGACATGGTATCAGAGCGGTCCGTCCTAGGACCTATTTCGTTTATGGGCCCACCACATTTCGCGACTGCTACAGTTAGTGGCGCGAAATCCGCACCTTGCGTATCTTTTTTTTTCCCTGCTGCTCGCGCTGCCCCCCGTCTCCTGCCTCGTCGCGGCTCTCAGCGCGACGGGCGCGGCGGACGCTATGGCGAACGCCAGCGGACCCGCCGCCAGCGACCCGCCAGCGAAGTCGCCAGCGAAGTCGCCAGCGGCCCGCGATCGCGTTTGCGCCATCGACTGCAGCCAGCGCCACCTTGCACCTCGCCCGTCGCACCGGCGGTCGCTGTGGGGGGGGAGAGGGAAGAAGGGATGGGAGTGGCGGCGGAACTCTGTGGGGGCGAGAGGGAAGAGGGGATAGGAGTGACGGGGGAACGCCAGCGACGATCGCCAGAGCACTGGCGATCGCCCCAGCCGCTCATTCGCCCGCTCTGCCCGTCGCATTCCCCCCGCCCCCTGCCCGTCACCCCCCCCCCCCCCCCGTCGCGACTGTTTGCGTGTGCAGCGGCGGTCGCCATGGGGAGGAGAGGGAGGAGGGGAAGGGAGTGGCAGTGGGACGCTGTGGAAAGGAGAGAGAGGAGGGGAAGGGAGTGGTGGCGGAACAGCACCAGCGCCAGCCGCCAGCACCAGGAACCAGCACCAGCGCCAGCCGCCAGCACCAGGAACCAGCCCCAGCGCCAGCCGCCAGCACCAGGAACCAGCCCCAGCGCCAGCCGCCAGCACCAGGAACCAGCCCCAGCGCCAGCCGCCAGCACCAGGAACCAGCCCCAGCGCCAGCCGCCAGCACCAGGAACCAGCCCCAGCGCCAGTCGCCAGCACCAGGAACCAGCCCCAGCGCCGGCCGCCAGCACCAGGAACCAGCCCCAGTGCCAGCCGTCAGCACCAGGAACCAGCACCAGCGCCAGCCGCCAGCACCAGGAACCAGCCCCAGCGCCAGCCGCCAGCATCAGGAACCAGCCCCAGTGCCAGCTGCCAGCACCAGGAACCAGCACCAGCGCCAGCCGCCAGCACCAGCACCAGCAACCCCACCTGTGACCAGCAGCCCCACCTGTGACCAGCAGCCCCACCTGTGACCAGCAGCCCCACCTATGACCAGCAGCCCCACCTGTGACCAGCAGCCCCACCTGTGACCAGCAGCCCCACCTGTGACCAGCAGCCCCACCTGTGACCAGCAGCCCTACCTGTGACCAGCAGCCCCACCTGTGACCAGCAGCCCCACCTGTGACCAGCAGCCCCACCTGTGACCAGCAGCCCCACCTGTGACCAGCAGCCCCACCTGTGACCAGCAGCCCCACCTGTGCCCAGCAGCCCACCTGTGAAAGACTGTACAGGGACCATCGTGGGTTGGGAGAGGTATGGAGGAAGACAGGGGTGGAGGGAGTGCGGTTCCAGGGGGCGACTGAAATGGGGGGTGAGGTTGAGGGCGGGTGGTTGGTTGGGGGTGGGGATGTGGGGGTTAGTAAGAGGGGACGCTGCGGCCACCCCCCCACCTCTTCTCCTCATCCCCCACTCAACCCCCCCTTTCGTAAAAGGGGGTTAGTAAGAGGGGACGCTGCGGCCACCCCCCACCTCCTCTCCTCATCCCCCACTCACCTCCTCCTGTGTTCTTATCTATTCTCCTCTCCTCTCTTCCTCTTGCCTCCTCCTCCTCACGTACCCCTCTGCCGTCTCCCACCGCACCTGCCCCTTCAGGGGGTGTGACTTGTGTCAGAGTTATATGACATAGCTACTGTAGGCTATAGTGGGGTAGCACATATGGGGTACAGTTGCCTAGGGTTTGCCTTTTGTACCCAACTTTCACTTAGTCATTTCATTCCTGTTTTCTTGATTCACATGGTATAGAGCGGGTTCCTACATGGGACCGTTCCTTCCTAAGGGCCCACCATAAGATTTTTTTTTTTAGCTGCCCGCGCACATTGCGCCCTGCCCTAATTTTTTTTTTTTTTTAGCGGCCCCTACGCTGCCCCTACGCGGCCCCTACGCCGCCTCCCACGCGCCCCCTATGCGGCCCCTGGCGGCGCCCTATCGCGGCCCCTGACGCGCCCCCTGGTGGCGCCCTGACGCGGCCCTGACGCGGCCTGACGCGGCCCCTGGCGGCGCCCTGACGCGGCCCTGCCGCGGCCCCTGACGCGGCCCTGACGCGGCCTGCCGCGGCCCCTGCCGCGGCCCTGAAGCGGCCCCTGACGCGGCCCTGACGCGGCTCTGCCGCGGCCCTGACGCGGCCCTAACGCGGCCCTGCCGCGGCCCCTGGCGGCGCCCTGACGCGGCCCCTGACGCGGCGCCCTGACGCGGCCCCTGCCGTGGCCCTGACGCGGCCCTGCCGCGGCCCCTGACGCGGCCCTGACGCGGCCTGCTACGGCCCCTGCCGCGGCCCTGAAGCGGCCCCTGACGTGGCCCTGACGCGGCTCTGCCGCGGCCCTGACGCGGCCCTGACGCGGCCCCTGACGCGGCCCCTGCCGCGGCCCCTTCCGCGGCCCTGACGCGGCCCTGCCGCGGCCCCTGGCGGCGCCCTGACGCGGCCCCTGACGCGGCGCCCTGACGCGGCCCTGCCGCGGCCCCTGACGCGGCCCCTGCCGCGGCCCCTGACGCGGCCCCTGACGCGGCCCCTGTCGCGGCCCCTGACGCGGCCCCGCCACCTACCTTTCCGGCCACGCCGCCTCCTCTCAGCGGCCCCGCCGCCTCCTCCCAGCGGCCCCGGACGCCGCCCTCTCAGCGGCCCCGCCGAGCCGCCCAGCAGCCTAGCCGCCCAGCAGCTGAGCCACCGAGCCGCCCAGCAGCCGAGCCGCCGAGCCGCCCAGCAGCCGAGCCGCCCAGCAGCAGAGCCGCAGAGCCGCCCAGCCGCCGAGCCGCCCAGCAGCCGAGCCGCCCAGCAGCCGAGTCGCCGAGCCGCCCTGCAGCCGAGCCGCCCGAGCCGCCCTGTCCGGTAAGAGCAGCGCCTCTCTCACAGCACTGCCCTCACCCCACTGTTTGCGCTGCTAGTCTACTGCTGTCATGGCTACCCCTAGTGTCCTCGCTTTTGACGCTGAGGGTCGGGCCATTGACTTTGACGTCTGGATAGATGACCTGCAGCTTTTCTTACAGTGCGATAGGGCAGACGGCCTCTCCCTCTTTGACCTCACTTCTGGTGCCTCTCCTGCCCCCGCCACTGATGCTGACGCAACTGTTCGCTCCCAGTGGGCCACGCGCGATGCTGCTGCACGTCTTGCTGTGCGTCGCCACCTGCCTACCTCTGAGCGTGCGCACTTTAGCCAGTACAAGAGTGCTCAGACCTTGTACGACGATGTAGTTGCACGCTACTCCTCCCCTGCCACTGCTGCACTGAGTCGCCTCATGCTACCGTACCTCTTCCCTGACCTTGCTGCCTTTCCCACAGTCGCTGACCTCATTACGCACCTACGCACTAGTGACACTCGCTACCGCGCTGCGCTTCCTGCTGAGTTCTGCGCCAAGAACCCCCCCCCCATGTACATCACCCTCTACTACATAGTCACCCGGCTCCCTGACTCCCTTCGCGTAGTCAGGGACCACTTCCTCTCAGTTTGCCCCACCACTCTCACCGTTGACCTCCTCGAGAAGTCCCTCCTAGCAGCAGAGAAGAGCATAGTAGCTGTAGGAGCCTCTCGTGGTGACCCTCGCACCCCCATCTTTGAGGGGTGTTCCCCCTCCCCCCTTTTGCCCTCTGTTGCCTCTGCTGCTGCGGCCGACCTCGTTGGGCTTGAGTCGGTCGGTGCGGCGTCTACCCCTAGCGGGAGGCGCCGCCCTGGCAAGGGCAAGGGGGGCAGGGGCGCTGGAGGAGCTAGCGGGGGCGGTGGAGGCGGCAGTGGAGGCGGTGGAGGAGGTGGGGGTGGCGGTGGGGGTGGTGGCGGGGGTGGAGGTGTCGGTGGCGGCAGTGGAGGCGGAGGCGGCAGCGGCAGTGGCGGAGGGAGCGGAGGTGGCGGCGGTGGAGGAGGAGGCGGCGGAGGAGGTGGAGCTGGTCGGGGTGGCGCTGCGCAGAGGGTCGGCTCCGGTGGTGGTCAGCGCCAGCAGCAGCAGCAGCACCAGCAGCGCACTCGTGACATCCCCTCCCCTCAGCAGCTCCGTGAGTGGTACACTGCACGCCAGAGGGGTGGGGGTACTGGTCCGTGCACCTACGTCCTCCGCACCGGCGACCGCGCGGGTGAGCAGTGCGGGGGTGCGCACTCCACCCAGCGCTGCTTTGGCCGCCTGACGGACGCTTGGCGTCACCAGTTCCCTGAGGCCACTGAGATCCCCCGCTGGGGTGAGCTGTCTAGGGCAGGTGTGGCTGTCTTTGACCTTGACTTTGATGCTATTCTTGCTGCCATGTATACTGTGACTATTAGTGATGAGGGTGACTGTTACCGGTGTTTTCCGCCGGACCCGGGCATTGAGACTGCTGCTCTAGGTACTGGTGAGGCTGCTGCTCTAGGTGCTAGCGAGGCTGCTGCTCTAGGTGCGTCTGCTCCCTCAGGTGCTGGTGAGTCTGCTCTCTCAGGTTCTGCGTCGGCTTCGGCCTCCCACACCTTCACCCTTGACTCGGGGGCTTCTCGCTCCTTCTTTCGAGACCGCACCACACTCACGCCGCTTAGCCGGCCAGTTGCAGTCTCTCTGGCAGACCCCTCTGGGGGTCCTGTCCTTGCTCACTTCTCCACTGTCCTCCCGTGTCCGGCGGCCCCCTCTGGCACCCTGTCTGGTCTTTACCTTCCCTCGTTCTCTACGAACTTGGTGAGTGGTGCTGACCTACAGGATGCGGGGGTTCACCAGTTCACTCCTGCGAGTCGGCGGGTGACCCACTGCACGGACGCTCGGATAGGCCGACACCTGGCCACGTTTACCCGTCGGCCGGGGTCGAGCCTGTACACCCTGACCACTGCGTCTCCTCCAGTCACTGCGTCTGGTCAGGTAGCTGCGTCGGGTCAGGTGTTTGCTGCAGCGTCCAGGTCTGGTCCTGAGTCTGCCCCCTGTTCGTGTCGCCTCCTGTCTCACGAGACTCTCCTCTGCACCACCGCCTTGGTCACCCCTCCCTGCTTCGTCTCCGAAGCATGGCCTCCCGTGTCCTTGTCTCTGGTCTTCCCCGGTCCCTCCCTCCCCTTCCTCCGGGGCCTGGCCCTACCTGCGTCCCCTGTGTCGAGGGGCGGCAGCGGGCTGCCCCTCACTCCTCCCAGTTTCCTCCGACAGAGGCCCCGCTGCAGACGCTTCACATGGACGTGTGGGGCCCGGCCCGCGTCCGTGGACAGGGTCACGAGCGCTACTTCCTGCTGGTGGTTGACGACTACTCGCGTTACACCACAGTCTTCCCCTTGCGCAGCAAGGGTGATGTCACTGAGGTGTTGATCGACTGGATCCGCGCAGCTCGTCTCCAGCTCAGGCAGAGCTTCGGCTCGGACTTTCCTGTTCAGCGTCTGCACTCTGACAGAGGTGGAGAGTTCTCCTCTGGCCTTCTGCGAGCCTACTGTCGTGCACGAGGCATCCGCCAGACCTTCACGCTTCCGGACTCTCCACAGCAAAATGGGATTGCTGAGCGCCGCATTGGCATGGTCATGGACGTCGCCCGTACGTCCATGATGCATGCGGCTGCCCCCCATTTTCTGTGGCCGTTTGCGGTTCGGTACGCGGCGCATCAGATCAACCTTCACCCCAGGGTCTCCATGCCGGAGACCTCCCCAGCTTTGCTGTGGACGGGGAAGGTTGGCGATGCGTCTGCGTTCCGTGTCTGGGGATCTCGGGCGTTTGTCCGCAACTTGTCTGCGGACAAGCTGTCCCCTCGTGCTGCTCCTTGCGTCTTCCTTGGCTTCCCCCCTGACGCGCCAGGGTGGCAGTTCTACCACCCCACCTCTCGCCGTGTCCTGTCCTCCCAGGACGTCACGTTTGACGAGTCGGTCCCCTACTACCGCCTCTTCCTCTACCGCACTCCGTCCCTCCCCCCGCCACCGCTCTTCCTTGTCCCAGGTCCCCCCCCGGTAGACCCCCTCCCCCCTCAGGGTCCTGCCCCTTCAGGTGTGTCCCAGGTAGACGCAGTCGAGCCTGTCGAGGTTACTGGTGACTCTGGTGCTGCTGAGGGTGCTGAGCCTGGGGGTGCTGACTCTGGGGGTGCTGAGCGTGTGGGTGCTACGCCTGGGGGTGCTGAGCCTGAGGGTGCTACTACTGGGGGTGCTGAGCCTGAGGGTGCTGAGCCTGGGGGTGCTACTACTGGGGGTGCTGAGCCTGGGGGTGCTGAGCCTGGGAGTGCTACGCCTGGGGGTGCTACGCCTGGAGGTGCTGAGCCTGGGGGTGCGGAGCCTGAGGGAGCTGGGCCTGCTCGTGTGGCGTCTGGCGGTGCTGAGCCTGGAGGTTCTCCGGGT